AAATAAATAAAAAAAATTAAAAAAAAAATAAAATAAAACAGCCTCCTGACCAAGGGAAGCCGAGCCCTCTAAGAGAAGACGGGAGGGTAGGGCTTGGGGTAGGGGTGGATAGGCGACAAAGGAAAAAGAATTTGATCAGAAGCAGCAGCTATGGAGTGTATTTGAAATGATTAGAGCCGGTGTGAGAGAGCAACGCTGTGGCTCTGCGCAGGACGATGCTCCCCAAGACTGGCGAGCAGAGCAGAAGTGCTTAGTCCCGACTGGTCCCCTTTCCTGCCCCTGATACTTCTTATCCAGGGCTTGGCCCGAGTGTCCCTCCCTTAAGAGCTGGTCCCTAAGCGCAAAGGGACAAGGGAGACGAGATGCAAGAATGTTTTGGAATTTATTTTACTTAATTGTACTGATTTTCTTAAAGATATTGTATAGATTGCCTGTAGGGCCTCTCACAAAACATATCAAAGGCTTTTCTCCTCTGACTCTTTTTCCTCCATATATGCTCACATAGGATGAGATTAATGAAATATACCATAAAAAACAAGTTAGGAAAACAGAACAGAACAGTGGTAGAGCATGCAAGATGATGCAGTCTCTGGGAGAAAACATTACTTTCTTTACAGCTAGGATGACTACTTGAAAGAAAAATGCTGTCCAACTCTATGGAGTGGGGATGGAGAGGGGGTTCACACTTTATTTCACTCATTTGTGCACCGTCAACAACTTTAAAAATACTTTAACAATAAATATATTGGGCTAGGGGTGCAACTCAATGACAGGGTGCTTATTTAGCATGCGCAGGGCTTTGATTTTCATTCTTAGCCTTGAAATATAAAAGTATTTAATTGATCTAAGTATAAATAGATTAATACTTTGTGTCAACCTGAGAGGTTCGGAAGGTTAAGGAAGCCACTCAGTAGGAGCCAAGGGGCCTCACGTTGTAAACATCCTGAGCCTGAGCAAGAAGCAGACAGGAAATGGTGTGAGTGCAAAAGACCCACTGGGGTGGAGAGCCCGCACCCTATGTAAGGGAACAAAAGAGTTCTGGTCCTCTCCCTTTGCTCTTCTAGCTTTTGCTGTCTTCTGCCAACTTGAACTGTTGTCCCTGTGCCATGCCACCCTGTCTTGGAGACAGCTGGTTACAGACTGAAACCTTCACAAACCACAAACTAAATAATTTTGAGTGTCCAGCACTTTGTCTCAGCAATGAAAATTAACCAAGATAAAGTATGTCTTGTGGGCTTTACGTGTTCTCCTCCTGAAAGGCTGGAGAATAAGCTGGAAGATCAATCACAGCTATAAAAAGTGTAAGACACACCTGTAGCTGACTGTGCTAGTATCTATGGACAGAACAAGATTTATGACCTATAATCTCTCCCCTCCTTATTGGAGAACAGATTGTGCTCCAGGCACCGGCAGTCAAGGCCCCGGGGTAAGCAATGCTCCCAGCAGAGAAAAGGGTGTGAGGACTCGGAGGCTGCTCTGTCTCTTCTTGAAGCACAAGGTCACTGAGAGGGAGCCACGGCAGATACCGAGCATAGGGAACAAACTTCAGAAATGGGACTGCCAGGCTTAGACACTTCATCTCTTAAGAGATTTTGGAGCCAATTTGTAAGTGAGGAAGAATGGATACTGTAAATTTGGGGGGCGGGCAATGCACATCAAAGCCTTATGCCTTGGCTCCCTCAGTCATTTTTCTACATTTTTCTTGTTAGCAATCAAGCATTCCTCTCATACTGCTTGGGGTACTAAAATTTTGGGTGAAACCACAGCCAGATGGCTGCGAGAGTACGAATGTGTGGGAACACTTTTTCACAGGACAGCCTTGGGCACAGTGTTGTACCTTTGAATATCCACCGTGAATGTTACTGACTTCTTTTAGGCCAAACATTTATATTTCCACTGGTTCACTTCATTAGGTTATCCATGAAACATTTGGTTAGAATTCCAGTAATTAATCTAAGGATTTCTCTGTATATTCTTTCTTATAAATTCTACCTTAAAGTGCTACTAAGTAGCCAGAAGTAGCAGCACATTTCTGTAGTCCCAGAACTAGGAAAGCTAAAGTAGGAGGATTGCTGTGAGTTTGAGGCTGGCCTGGGCTACATAAGTGAGGTTAGCGCCAGCCTGAATTGCAAAGTGAAACCTTGTCTCAAAAAAAAAAAAAAAAAACCACAAAAAAACCTATTACTAGATGTTAAGAAATTCATATTTTAAAAAAAGAACATTTGTAGAATTTTGTAGATATTTCCCCCACATTTGTCATGAAAAACACATACAAATAAAAATCACACCTGTGTACTTTAAAAAAAAAAGAAAAAGAAATTCATAACACTTTAACAACTGTTAAGCCCTTCCTGTCTTTCTGTATTATAGTATCTTATTCACAAGTATATGTTAAACGCTATATTTTATTATCTTATGCAAAAAGCATTATTTTATGTATTCATACATACAGACTTGCCCATTCTGAAGTTTATTATTTCCTTCTGCATGATTGGGCTTCCTTCTGAGATATTTCTTCCATGTGAAGAACTTGTTATATATATATATATATATATATATATATATATATATATAGGGGGGCAGCTTAGCTGGCCCTGAAGGGGGGCTAGTGCAGCATGTGGTGCCTGGGATGGATTGGTGGTCCCCTGCATCCACCTAAGCTTTCCTAAGTAGGTGATTTAGATCGTTGAGCTATCTTGCCAGCCCCAAGGTTTAGTATTTTTTTTAATGGAGATTTGCTGCTGATTAAATTCTGCTTTGATTTATTCAATAACATTGTACTCTGCCTTCATTCTGTTGTATACATGCACTGTGTATAAAATTCTGAGTGGGCAATAACTTCAGCAGAAAGTTGATTCCCCATTGTTTTTCAGTTTCTGTCTCCACTGGGGCGGGGGGGACATCAGATGCTGGTCTTATAATTGTCCTTTGAAGGTAAAGTGGTTTTTCTCTATGACTGCTGTTTTCATATGCTTTTTCGCTTGGGGTTTTTTTTAGCAGTTTTATTGTGATGTGTCCAAATACAGTTTTCTTTACATTATCTTATTTTTTTCTGCCACTTCTTAGATTGGTGTCTACTACCAATTTTGGAAAATTAGCTGATAATTTCTCTTTGAATGGCGTGTTTTCCCCATTCTCTTTCATTTTAAGTGATTACAATTATAGGTAATTGTAATCACGTGGACTCGCAACCTTTTTATGAAATTTTTTCCAATGTTTGAAACCAATTATTGTCCCTCATTTTTTATAACTCTTATCTGTTGTCTAATCTGTTAAACATAGCTATTAAATGTATACATTAATTAATTGTGTTATTCAGTTTTAGGCATTCAAATTGATTGCTTCTTAGACCTTGTTTTCTATTGGAATTGTCTTTTCATCACTTTAAGTTGGAAGTATTTTAATCATGTATACCTGTTCTAAGCTGTCTTACCTTGTTGGCTTCATCAATGTGGTCCTACTCTGGGGGCTGTTAATTTTGGGATGAATACTGTACATTGTATATGAAAAGTTATAGAAACCGGGTGATGTTATACTTTTTCAGATAATTTTTTTCTGATGAGCAGATAAAATGTAAACATATAGCCAGGGATTGCACTGATTCTAGGCTCTGCTGCAGGTGCATTGAGAACTTGTCTGAGAGTGCCCTTCCTCCTACAGTGTTGTCTTGAAGGTTGTCAGCTCAAAGTCTGAGGAATTTCCTAACGTCCTTCCTTTATGCCATCTCCTGAGCCTGCCACAGATTCTCCAATAGCATGGTTTTTTTTCTCTTCTCTATATACTGTATGTTCTTTATCTGAAATACTTTGGCAAGACTAAAAACAACAGGAAGAAAGTATAAAGTTCACTTCAATATATATTTATGTCTACCAATTTGCTTCTCCAGGATGCCTTTGTGCATTTGTACATGCTTCCAAATAGCTGCCCCTTGTCCATTTCCAGCATTTATAATCCTGAGGGGAAGGACTGGCTTCCTCAAAGTCTTGCCCATTACATTACTCCGTTATTCTCTCTCATAGCCCCAAAAGCAGGCTTTCTTGTTTATTCCACTAACTACATCACTTTCTTGTCAAGATCACTTTCTTGGTCTATTTTTTAAAAATCTTTTATTTATTTGACACAGGATCACTATACGGCTGGGACTTATACTGATCCTCCTGTCTCAGCCTCCCCAGCACTAGGATTACAGGCCAGCACCACCACACCTGGTTTTGGTAGCCAGCAGGGCAGACTCAAGGTTCTGGGGCTGGCAGAGTATGTGGTACTGGGTCATTGAACCTGGGTCCTTGCACTTGCCAGGCAGGCACTTAGACCACCAAGCTATCTCCCCAGCCTCTAAGTCCATTTTTTGTTGCTATAACCGATTACTACATATTAGGTCAATTTATGAAGGATAGGTAGGCATTTATTTAGCTCACAGCTCTGGAGCCTGCAAAGTTCAAAGTTGAGTATCTACCACTGTCAAAGACCCTCTGAAAGTCAGAGCTCTGCTGAGTCCTGAGGTAGGGGAGTATTATGTGATGAAACAGAAGGAGGGTACAAGCTCTAATCCCTTTTCTGTGACTTATAAAGCCCTAGGTGTACCAGGAGGGCTCCACCATTATGACCTCATCTAATCTTAATTAACTCTTAAAGGCTCTGCCTCCAAATATGGCTAACATATGACTTTAAGAATTAAGTTTAAAATACAAGCAAATCTGGGGACACATTTACAAAACCATAGCAATTGCCAATAATTTCTATGTGCCTAAATATTTGGGTTAATTTTCTGACTTAACTCTTTAAATTGACTTCTCAACAGCATTCATTATATGTGAGTCCCCGATGCTTCCTGGGAATACCCTCCCTGCTTTGACTTCAGCAATTCTGCATTATCTTGATTTTAAATCTTCCTTTCCATTTGATCATTCTGAGTGCCTTCCCAGACCTGTGGATTTGTAAAGCCAAAGGCTCCACATTTTGTATCCCTCCACTTTGCTTCTTAACCATTTCACATTTAAATAAAATCCACAGCAGACAACATAGATAGTTGCCTAGTGGTGGCTTCACTTACGAATTTTTAACCTTATGATGGTACAAAATCAATACACATTCAGCAGGAACTGGAATTGAATTTTAAATTTTGAGTTTTGGGGGCACCTAGTGATACACCATTCAATGATCTTGTGGTGCTGGGCAGCAGCAAGCTGCATTTCTAGGTGTCCATACAGTCCTGAGGGAAAATAGCTGATACCCTATAGCGTACTGTGTGGTCACCTCTTTTAGATATAAATATTCAGTACATTTCATGAGATAACCAACAGTTTATTATAAAAGACTGAATGTAAGGTGATTTTGCCCAATTGTAGGTTAATTCTGAGAATGTTTAAGGTAGACTAAGTTAAGTGATGATGTTTGGTAGGTTAAGTCCTAGGATATTTTCAGTTTTTGACCTAGGATATTTTCAATTAATACTGGGTGGAACAGGATTCAAACCTGTTATGAGTTTAAGCACATCTGAACATACTGATAATTTCCAAAGTTGTGCTTACTGTCTATACTTCCTCTCCTATCACAGCTGCAAATGTCCAATTAACTCAACATCTCCACCCAGCTCTGGAGTGTGATCTTAGTTAGGAAACGTCCCAACATTTTCCCCAATTTGAACTCACACTTACCAATTTCAGTCATGAGAACACCATTTCCAGGTGACAGTCCAAAAGCCTTTGCTATTTACATAGCTACATTCTATATTATCATAATCTCAGATTCCAAAACATCTACAATCCTGATTTCTCCAATCTAACCATCAACCTCACTTGAAATATGAATGATGATCCCCTATAAAATTCTATTGATGTATCTTCAAAGCTTTGGCAGCTATTTCAGATTGCTGCCTATTTCCTAATGTCAAAATCTGACTTAATCTCTCAGCTCCTGTTTCCCTAATCTCATTTTCTATTATTCACCTTGCCTGGCCACTTTGCTGTTCCTTAAGCATTCCAACTATGGATTCTGTTTTAGGCATGTTTGTCTTGTCTTCAACCTAGAATTATTCTTCTCTATATCCATATAATGTTTTTTTTTTCTTTAAATCTAGGAGTCTTTGCTCACTTCTGCAGTCTAGCTTTCCTTGCCTGCACTGCCCACATCTGTACTCTGCCACCTTGCCTTGTTTTGTTTCTTCAGAGTGTTTTTTATTACTGACCTCGGATTAGGCTTTTATTTGTTTAGGACCTCCCTCTTCCACTGGAATCTGAATTCTTTTAAAGGAAAAACTTTTTTCTGTCCAATGCTAAGAACATTTTAAATTTAAAATATTAACAAATATTTGAAATGCTAATAAGCCTATGATATTTATCATTGTAAAAACATCATCTGAAACAAATATTACAATAGAGTATTCATGAACCTTCACAATACACGTGCATATATATTTTGAATTCATGGAAAATGTTATGCAATCAGAAATAGTTGAATGAATGCCTGTGTATTAGAAATTAAAAAAACAGAGAGAGAATTGTATGAATTATGTACAAACTGAGAATGTAAAGATACTTTTACAAATGTGGTGAATTTTTGAAAATTTTCAACACATATTTTATTAAAAAATAAGAATCCTAAACAAAGAGCTGAAGTTGTAAGAAAACAATGACGATATAAAATTTAGCCAAATGATTTATGATATCATAAAAATGTATCTCTCAATTCATATAGAACACCATTCTAGTTCAGAATAACATGAATATGGATACTTCTTCTTATACTGCTTAGAAAATCTAGCAGTTTTTCTATATTTTACATTTCCATAGATTAATTTTAAATTTTTTCATTTCTTCTTTGGCTTTGGAAAAATTAACAGGTATTTCAATGAATGCTATCACTAACCTGAATTCAAAATTTGATATAAGAAGTAATTAAATTTGCTTTTCAAAATTCTTACCACTAATTCTGAAACATAACTCATTTAACAAAGTAATTATCATGAAAATATGGCCTTAATTTTTGTATTATTAGTTTTAAAAACACTATCTTTGACATAAGCATTATTTGGTAACCATAAATCTCATCTAACATAAATAAAAAATTAACAAAAGTGAAAAAAATAGATGGTATGAGGTCACTTCTGGAGTCAGTTAAGAGAGCCAAGGTCTTATGAAATCTCCTATCATGCTTTATCTTCCAATCCACATGTTTACAAGGTAAAATTCAAGATCTTTGTACCTGCTTCTATGTTCCAGGGTTTTTTTGTTTTTTTTTTTTTTTTGTATGTGTGAGTTTTGGGGTTTTTTGCTTGTTTTGTCACTGTATAAGTTCTTAGCTGCAGCCTCTGAAACCAAGCAAAGTAAAGCAATCATCAGACTCAGTCAGGGATCTACACAGATCCACTCCTGGTTCAGGCTGTCTCCAGCCATCTCTCTCTGAAGCTTGGGCTGAGTGGGAAAGTTAGCCAGGTGGTGCTTGTAGACTGCACAGTGGCCTGAACAGTCAGGAAGAGCAAAGGGCATAGTTCCTTTAGCAGCAATGATAGACCAGAGAGCAAGTGACCAGGCGTCCAATGTGCAGACTTTTCAGGTAACTCACATGTCTAGAAATTTCTCAACTTATAAAACTGCTCTATTGAGATTTGTATGTTCCTTTAAAAGTTTCTATTGCTGACTGAGTAATTTTAAAAGTTCTCCAATAGCTTGGGTTTACTTGGTGCGGATGACTGAGTGCTCGCTAGTCCTATTTGCTAGTTAAGGCTTTGCAGTGATTCAGACAGAGGTCTGGGTGTTTCCACCACCAAACAGGTTCCACTGCTATGGAAAGTGGAGTGGGGAATGTAAAGGAGAAAGTATCCAGGGGAGGCAAGCCGTGGGTTCACTTGGCTTTTGTCACTATGCTAAAGGACAACGCTAATTATAGTCTCAGTACACTTTTCCATTTCCAGGCATCTGTATACAAACAATAAACCCCTGTCCTGATAGCCAGAAATGGATCTGAAAATAACTTATTATACATTTATATC